TGGGGGGGGGGGAGTAAGAGGACCAATTCATCAAGGATTCTTAGATGTCTTGAACGTAGCTTTTAACTCCTGAAAATTTTGGTGGCTCGAGGTTTAAGCAATGTCGTACTTTCAGTATTGTCATGTTGGATAAACGGGGTTGGAAATTTCTTATACATTTAGATGTGCTTGTTTATCAAGTCTCAAAGGCCACGTATTTCTCTAAATCTTCTATTCTTGAAGAGTAACGTGGTGGCACTCCTAACAATCATTGGTAAAGTATTTTGGAAGCCTTGACACTGCTTAAGGTAGGGTCTAAAAGGCAGTTGGTAATGGAGATAATACGCCAGTCTGGGGGGATCCGTGGCGACATGATATTGAGAATCCAACCCGTATTTCTACTCGTCCATCGTTTATGTAAAACATGACGGTATAGACGATGGCTTATAGAAAGACGTTATCATGGTTAAAGCGAAAAGGTTTTTAGGGTGTGGAAATCAATTTTCTCAAACTATATTCCTATAATTAATGCTTTTTGGGAGGAAAATATCTATCGAGACGGTTTGGGCAATGTCATGGGATGACTCGGGGGCGCTTCGGTGTCCCGTTCGTAAAATTGACGGTTCCTACCCCTATCCCCCCAGTAAAACCCCACCCCACCCCGCCCCGACCCGAACACACCCCCTCCCCTTCAATTGCACCACACAAGTAAATTTTGACTTTGGAGTCAATATTTGACTCCAAAGTCAAAATTAACTTGTGGAGTGCAATTGAAGGGGTGAGGGTGTGTTCGGGTCAGGGCGGGTGGTTAGGAGCTAGAAATCGTCAATTTTACCAACGGGACACGAGAGCACCATCGGGTCATCCCATGACATGGGATTCCAATGTCATGGAAACCTCACCGAATATTTATTGTTCTTTCATTTTAATTAAAATTGAATTGTTCTAAATGTTTAATGTTCTTTCATTTTAATTTAAAATGAATTGTTCTAAATATTTATTGTTCTTTCATTTTAACATAAAACTACATTTTCTATTTCATTTTATCATGTGAATTGTTCTTTTAATTGTATTGTTCATACATTAGCTTGATGGGCTGAAATTCAATGTGGTGTTTGAGATTACTTCTCTCCAAACTTCGTTATATTGTTGTTGATGCATTAATGAAGTTTGTTTTCTTGGAGAAAAATAAAAGTTTCATGCACATTTATAGTTTTTGTAATATAAACTAAAATGAGTGTATTCAATCCGGATTCTGATAGAGTTTTTGGATTCTGAAATTTCGTAGGTATTCGATTCATAATTTAAAAAGTCATTTAAAATCTGGGTGTATTCAATTCAAACTTTAAAAAATCTTTCTAAATATGATGATATTCAAAAGTTGATAGATTTTTAAAGATTTTTAAAAATGTGGATTTTGATGGATTCTTATGTCTTGGGTATATTTACAAATCCAAATTCCAAATCCAATCAAAAGCCTTGGGATTTTGCTAACTCTCCTATTCTCTTCTTCCGCCGCAGGAACTGGTGTTATTTTCTCCACTTCATCTTCTTCTTCTTTCTTCTCCTCCAATATCAAGCCTTCAATTTTTCAGAAATATAGAAATTAGGAAACCTATTTTAAATACTTAGATAGAAATTCGGAAACCTATTTTATACTATAAATTTGTCACGGAACCAACTCAACCAAAAGCTCAAGCTTGTGGTTATGGCCCATGAATGATTGTTATATACTCTAACACGCCCTCTCACGTGCAGGCGTGACCTTTTTTGAGCCTTGCACGTGAAACCTTAATTTTTTTTAAACTGGGTAGCAGTGAGTTTCGAATTCGTGACTTCTTGGTCATCAAGGCTCTGATATTATGTCAAGGAACCAACTCAACTACAAGCTCAAGCTTGTGTTTGTGGCCCAGGAACAGATACTTATACTCTAACACGCCCCCTCACGTGCAGGTGTAGTCTTTTTCGAGCCTTGCACGTGAAACCTTAAATTCTTTTAAACTAGGTGGCGCTGAGTTTCAAACCCGTGACCTCTTAGTCAACAAGGCTCTGATACCATGTCACGGAACCAACTCAACCACAAGCTCAAGCTTGTGGTTATGGCCCAGGAATGATTGTTATATACTCTAAGTAATATCATAAGTAATAATCACAGTTAGTACAATGTATAGATTTTTAAAAGGGGAAGGTTCAAGTGACATTGGGAACCAATGTCATGGGAACCTTGTTTTTAAAATAACTTAAATGGATATATAAATAATTCATTAATAATAAACAATCTATTACAATCTTACAAAATTCTGCTAACAAAATACATTAAAATCTATCTAATTCTGTATAAATTTTAAATAATTCTTTGACTTTACAAAATCCATGGATTCAAAATAATCTGTCAGAATCTTTAAAAATCTGGATTGAATACAACCCATAAAGTTTTAATAACTTTTTAAAATCCATAAATTTAATTTGAGGTGGGTACTCCCTATTAGACTTTTACTTAGGAGCTGTTTGGCAACTTCTGAATAGGTAAGTACTGAACCAGTAAGAGGTCTAAACCATTAAGTGCTGAACCAGTAAGAGGTCTGAACCATTAAGAGCTAGTATATTGCTTTAACTATTCAAAGGCAAATGTCTGATCAATTCAGATAAGAGGTCTTAACCATTCAGACTCTGTATAATACTTAACCATTCAGAGGCAAATCTCTTAACCATTCAGACATCTGAACCATTAAGAGGCTGAAACAAACAG